GTTTTTCGAGACAGGGTTTCTCTGTGTAGCTTTGCGCCTTTCCTGGAACTCACTTGGTAGCCCAGGCTGGCCTCGAACTCACTGAGATCCGCCTGGCTCTGCCTCCCGAGTGCTGGGATTAAAGGCATGCGCCACCACCGCCCGGATATATGTTTTTTTATAAATTATAATTTATACATTGCCTGATGGTACTTTCATGCTTAGTTTCCTATAATTTAGATGGTCACTCCACTGCCGATGAACAATGAGTAATGCCTTGTTTCCATATGGTCCTATTATTCACAATGTTGCTACTAGGTTTTCTATGTCATGATGCTTGATGGCCACATGTGAGAATTTCTTAAGTTTGGGACTACTGGCTTGCATGGCCGTGTACATTCCAATTTTGGTAACCACTGCCAACTCATTTGCTCTACGAAGGAGTCACACTAGTTTCCCATGAGCTGTGTGGAGAGCTCCCGAAACTCCACACTGTCTCCAACCCTCGTCACTGCCAGATACTTCAACATTTGCTAGGCCTGTGGGGAGTAAACGGTACTGTGATTTCAACTTGCAATTTCCTCAGAAGCAAAAAGACTGGGTGTCTTTGCCTATATTTGTAGGCTGTTCATGCTTCTCTAAAATAACTGCTCCTACTGTTTCAAAGATTGATAAAGAGTCAGTTTAGGAGGCTGGTAGGGATTATCCTCTTACTTTTTTTTTTTTTTAATCTTTTTTGAGACAGGATTGCATGTAGCTCAGGCTCTTCTCAACCCATTATGTAGCAGAGGATGGCTTTGAACATGTGATCCAACTGCCATCACAATTGTAGATGCCATCAGGCCTGGCCCTCTTACTGGTTTGCCACAATTCTTTATATTTTTGTATTTTAAACCTAGGAAAGCTATATTGTATAATTTCTCCTTTAGGTTTTCTGAAGCAGGGGCCGTGCAGGAGGGATGGAGTGAAGTTGATCCCAGAACTGACGTGAAAGAGGAAGGGGAGAATCAACTCCACAGAATTGTCCACTGGCTTTCATGTGCATACCTCCCCCATCATGCACTAAAGGTTTGTCATTTATAGATTTCAATTTAAGTCTGAATATATTTAGCTATGACTCTTAAAAAAAAAACAACTCACTATATATCCCAGGCTAGTCTCAAATTCACAGTCCTTTTTCCTCCCAACCTAGCGCTGATAGATTTTGATAGGTATGAGGCAAGAATCCATTTTTTTTCCTATAAGGGTAACCAACTGTATAAAAGTCATTTAACAGACATTTTGTCCTGGGCAATACATCAGTTTAATTACTACAGCATGCCACCTCAGCCATTCAGCCACAGCAAGAGTCCGTGAGGAGTGTTTGCTTTGAACTCACAGAGATCCACCTGCCTCTACCCGCTGAGTGCGGGGATTAAGGGTGTGAGTCACCATGCCCGGCATCATTTTTTTTCTGGACTCTTTGCAGTCCCACTTGAACTTTAGAATACATTTGTCATTTACTCCCCCTACTCACAAACACAACCTGTTGTGACTTCAGTGGGAGCTGACAGAGCCGTAGATAACTCTGCAGGGAAGGGACCCCTTTACACACCCAACAATCCCTTCCATGAGTGTGTTCATCTTTACCATCTTTCAACAGCATTAGAGGAGTCTCTCGTTGAGATGTAGGTCCTTATATACTCAGGATATTAACTTCTTATGAGACAGGCTACTTTGCATGTGTCTTCCACCATTCCAAAAGTGATTCTTCGCTGTTGATCATTGAATGCACCTAAGTTCTACATTTTGACATAGCTTAATTCATACATTTTTAGCTTTGTTCCCCGGATGC